GCACACACACACACACACACACACACACAGTTCTTTTTGGCATAGCTAGATTTCCCTATTTTCCCACTAGGATAATATCTGGATATGTTTGAACCTGTCATGTAGTGACAGGTTCTTTGGTGTGGCTCAGTTTACCCAAACGCCTCCTTGCCAAGGTAACTGTGTGGGGAAAGTTGCCAGGCTTTAAAATTGATGGAATTGCAATAAGCTTGCTGCTAGAAGAGGATTTGCCATCATTCTCTAGCTGACTTAGCTGTCTGTCTCTGGCATGTAGGTTTCAGGACAGCTGCAGAGCACTTGAACTCACTAGATTATGTTTTTCCCTTGAAGATACAGTCTCTTTAAGAATACCAGTCCACAATGTTTACCTACTTGGGCCAAAGATGGGTTTCATATCCTATCGTAATCCTTACTAGAGCAGACCCCCTCACCCCTGCGTGTCTGTGATCTAAGAGCTTCAGAATATATGAGCTCTCTGTTTGAAGGCACAAGATACCTTTAAAGGTTGGGTGATGAGCCACCAAGGCCTCCACCAAGGTGCCTCAAATCCAAGCCTGGATTTAGATGTTAGGCTGTTAGGCAGGTACAGAAAAAGGGGGAGTTGGGATTTGGAGGCCGGGTCCCCAATAGAAGAGATGACAAGGTCAGTGAGAAAAGTTGGACGGTGGGTGCACTGTCTGAGGAAGGGAAGGTTGGGGATTCCTGGAAGGGGAGTCAATGTGCATGCTGGGGGAGCGAGGATCCAAGTAGGTGGACTCTGCAGATGGGTATGTTTCATGTTTCAACTGGAACTGACAAATAGTAGTTAAATTGCATTTATGTATCAATAAAAAATCAGAATTTCATTCATTCTTGCTTGAAATTTTCATTTGTATTGAAGAATTGGGATTTTTGTTAAAAATAAAGAGATGGAAACCAAACTAAACGTTTCTTCTATACCGTGAGAAGGCTGTTAAACTTATGTAACCTATCATGAGTCATGGTTTTCCCTCTGGCGTTTGTTCTAGGTGCTCCTCTCATGGATGGGCTCCTTCCTGCTGAATAAGACTTGGAGATTCGTGGTCACTTGTGTCGATCCTGTGGTTAGGCCTTCTCACCCAAGAGCTCATCACCGTTGTTTGTCAAGAGACCTGAGGCTAGCCAGGGGGCAGAGATCCTTCTGGGAAGCTAAAGACAAGGGCTGGGCTCAAGTAGCAGAGCACTTGCCTAGCAAACATGAGGCCGAGTTCAAAGCCCAGCACTACCCAAAAAAAATAGTAATAAAAAATGAAAAGAAACAAGGAAAAGAAAAGCTAAGGATAGCTGGAGGCCCTCTCTTCAGAAAATTGGACACACACAATTGTTGCATAAAATTTCAAGAGTGGCAGTGAGCATCTTAAGGATTGTTCATGGGGTCCAGGTCAAGAACCCTTGCTATGGGCATAGCTAGGCCACCAGGGAAAGCCCCTAAACTCCTTCCAGTCTGCCTGTGAGACCTTATCCCTTCCATCAAATTTTCACTCATCTTTCCCCGTGGTTCTAAGAGACGTGAGTCACATTAATATTGGTAGCACCATATGCCTCGAGGTACTCGTGTGGTAGAAATATTGAGTCATAATTTTTGTTTTTATTAAAAATCTCATTTTCCAAAGCCTACTTCTCCTTAAAACACATTTTAATTCCATTTCATCTTCAAGTTGGTGTACATTTTTGTGGCTGGGTTAACTCATTTGCTAGATCTCTGGGGGAGGGGTAACTTGAACTTTCTTGCTTAAATTGTATTAGTCTGCTCAGCGTCATGAAACTATTTCTGATGTCCATTTTTCTTCTGAGGTGACAAACACTGTTCTGTCACCTTGAGTCCATCGCCACTGGTCTGTGGGTGAAGACCTGCTGACACTGAGGGTGTGGGCACTAGAGGCACTGGGAGAGAGGCAGGCATTAGGGAGGCAGGGCGTAGGTGAGCGTGTGCACCCCAGCTGTGAAAGTAGCACTTGGACCAAGGAGCAGTTATTAGTGTCTTTGAACTCTTCAGCAAAATAGTAAAACCCATGAACCCTGAAAGGAAAGAAGGTTTTGTGCCTTCAGACCTCCACCATAACCTGGGTCTTCAAATCCTCCATTCCTGTGGTACCTACAGTCAGGGGATGCTTTGTGGATGCTGACAGGTTGCCAGCTGACCTGCTCAGTGCTCACCCCTTTTCTCCTTATACCCCTAATATAGACCCACATGGAGGGTGGCCTGCCCCTTCTGCAGGGGACTGAGCAGTATGGGCAGAACTTCTGGATGTGTCCTCTATCAACTTGATGAATGAAGCAAGCTTTTTAACATCTGGTTATTTACTTGCGGTTGGGTAGGAGACTTGTTTACAAATCATCCTACAAAAAAGGCGGGGCAAGTTCTCAGAAACCACTATTGACAAAACAGTGGAGTCTTCCTGTTTGAGGAGGGTAAGGTTTGCTAAGGAACTCTGCCAGTGAAAGGGTGTTTGTTGGACTCCTTATGGACTTTCTTCCCTTGTAGGACATAGGAGCCCAGAAGCTCTGGCCCCCAGTTGTCTCTGGGACTGTACACGAGCCTTTATTACCTGTGTTACAGCCAGTGTGTTGAGGGGAGCTAGCCCATTAGAGGACATGGGATAGGGATCTGAAGTGTGTGTCGCTAGAGAAGTTTGTGTACACAGTAACAGCATCGTGGGACAGGATCTTGTAGAAGGCTTCCCGGCTACTGGAAGTCTGGGACAAGCAGGATTTAATTTTTGAGGAAGGCAGGCAGCACAAGGAGACTGTTCCTTTACCAGCATGTCATGTGGACCGTGCAGTGAATGGTAAAAACGACCCGCCGTCTCCCCACGTGCTGACTTGTGGGCAGGTGGGAAGCGCATCAAGAATGTTTGCTGATCAGTCATCTGACAGCCTCACTTGGGCTGTGGTTTATTTAGTTCACAGTCAGTACTTTGTGAAAAGAGCAGATGTCAAGCAGGAATCTTTGCACTCAGTGTAGCAAGCTCTCTTGCCGAGAGGTTTAAGAAGTTTGTTACTGACCTGCAACTCTCAGGTGCTAATGGGAGTTTGATTTAGTTCATTTTTGTAGTCCTTTTCCTCCAAAAGCAGAATGCCCAGGTGCTTCTCTCCTCTCCCCCAGCTGCCCTGTGATGCAGGGGATGACTGCCCCCAGGTCACTTAGGAGTGACAGTTGTAGCCCTTCACCGCCAGTAGAGATGCCTGGCCAAGCTATCTGACTTCAGCAGCATCTGGTTGGAAATGCAAGCTCATGGTGAACTGAGACAGTACCTGCTTAAACACTGGCCTAGAATCCAGAGCAGAGAGAAGGAAGCCCAGAGGGAGGCGGGTGGAAGGGTGGCCTTGCAAATCCCAGCCTTTACTGTTCAGGCTCAGTGCCTTGGTGGCTGCCACCACCATAACCCAGCAGAAAGAGATTGCTGATGAGGCAAAGCTGGAGGGGACACAAGGCACCCCAGGCCCTTGATGGTAATGCCGGCCTCCTGCTGCCTCCTTTCCCTGTGTAGAACCCAGGCATCCACAGCTCCCAGATTTCCATCTGGGCATTTCTTGCTGGGTTGGGACAGGTAAGAGTTCCTCGATTATTTCCACATATTCTGACAAGCAACTGGCCAGTGATGTCCTATAACACACATGAGATGGTTAGAGAACCAGGTACATGATGGAAGAAGACTCACACTCGAGGCTGAGAGCTCCGCTGGGGCCTTCCCCACCACCTTTCCAGACTGAAGTTCTTTAGAGGAGGTTAAGGGTAATTTGGGGTGTTTCCACGGGAAATTCTATTTAAATTGAAAAGTTAAAATGCCTACTCCAGATGGGAAAGAACACCACACTTCCCTCTTTTGAGTCTGGGTGAGGCACGGCACCTCAATCACCAAGACAATGTACGTGTATTAGAAGTGTGTTTAGGAAGGGAGGGGGTGGGGGCAGGGGGGAGAAATGACCCAAGCCTTGTATGCACATATGAATAATAAAACAATAAAAAAAAAGTGTGGTTAGGTATACAACAGTTCTAACAAGTCATCAGTTTTTGCAAGGACATTTAGGCAAGTCTGTATCCTTTTATATTTAATTCCTGTTCCTGTGTAAGTTCATTATGTCTGATCTGTCATCAGTAATTGGAAACACATCGTAATGTCCCATAGAGTGCTTCTGCTTACAGGTAAGCAAGTGAATGAGGACATAATGAAGCTGAGTGGGGAAGGGACTTACTTCTTCCAGCAGAATTCCAAGGACAGCTTTACCTTGTAGCCAGAGGTCTTGATATTTGGGTATTGGAAGACTTCATGCTCAATAATCCCCCTTGTGCATTTTGTTTATTAACTTGCCTTTTTTCTGTGTAATTTGAAAAACTGAACGTAGCGATTGAATTAATAAACTTGCATCTAGGCAAATGGGGTATGTGGCCGGCATGTAGCCGTGCTTTGTTAGAAAATCTGAGAGTTTTTTCCTTAAATTTTCATTTTGTTTCCTTCCCTACTTTAAGACCAATTCTGAGACTACTCAAACTTGCCGAAGTGATTCTAGGTCATTTGAGAGGAAATAGTCTCAGAGTCAAATTTTCCATAAATAAGGTAATTTTAGTCCTAGGAGAACCCAACTTTTCTTTATAAACCAAGCGTCTTGGGTTATGTACATCAGTAAGAAGCCACGTGCAGGGGGGAGATGGGCGCTCAGACCCATGTAGATAGTACCCTGAAGAGCACAGGGGAATTTTTGTTTTGTTTTGTTTGTTTTCATCAGGGACAGTCCTTTGGCCAGAAGGACTAATCAGAGATGAAGGGGTATGGGAGGGTGTGCAGTGACCACAGCATAAGGCCTGATACCAGACGGGGTCAGCTTCCGCCTGTGGCTAGTAAGACTGAGTTAACAGAGAAAGTCCTGGGGCAGGACTGGGTTCCTTTGGTCTTGGTTAAGCCTATGAGTTTAGCAGAGAAGTGATTTGCATTTCTAACTTCTAAGGGACCAGCTGGTAATTTTTGATGATTTCATTTTAGCCAAATTCAGGCCCTGAATTGGTTTTGTCCGAAGATGAAAAAAGTGACAATGAAGATTCGGAAGAGACAGAATTGGGTGTCCTGGAGGATCAGCGTAGTGTAATTCTTCATCTCATCTCACAACTCAAACTTGGAATGGATCTGACCAAGGTAGGTTGGTGTGTCCCACTGGATTTATGTGTAACCAGTCCTCTGGATGCTGTCTCTGTCCTCAAGCCTCCCCCCTTCACGTTCTTAATCACTGTGGTGAGTTGGGGAAAAAGGCCGTTGCGGTTTCTTGGAAATTACGCACATGCACGTGTGTGTGTGTGTGTGTGTGTGTGTGTGTGTGTGTGAGAGAGAGAGAGAGAGAGAGAGAGAGAGAGAGAGAGAGAGACACTGACTGACTATGTTGTCCACGATGGGCTCAAGCAGTCCTCCTGCCTCAGCCTTTCATGCACTGAGACTATAGATGTGCACTCCCATGCCCGGTGAGAAAGTGTATTTTTAGTTGAATGCTGACCCTCAGCATGGACAGCCTCGCATTTGGCTCTGTGGAGTTGCTGCTGCTCTCTAAGCACAGGGGAGCATAAGAGGAGCGAATGATACGATAGGGAACATCAGGAGAAGATTAAGAGTGGCCTCTAGAGGGTGCTGTGGCACCATGGCCATGGCGAGCCAACTGGAGAAAGGAAAATGGTAGAGCCCCAAGCATAACCACTGTGCATGCTTAGCCTCCCACCTGCTGCCAGCCGCCATTAGCTTTCACACTGGGTCAAAGCGCAGCCTGATTGGAGAGGGGTGCAGAAATGAGCCTGCTGGTGGGTGGGTTCCTGGTGCTGAGTGCAGGCAGGACGTTTCCTGAGGAACCACATCTGGAGAACCCAGTGTCCTAACTGCTGATGGCCTGTGGAAGGCCTCATTCTGGAGGCAAGCAAGAAGGCAGCTTTGCATGTGTTTGAATGGTTGAATGGTGTTACTGCGACACTGGGAGCCTGGACTTTGGTTTGGCAGTTATCCCACCAACGTGCCTCCTTGGAAGGATGGAGTAGGGAAGGGAGGTTGTGTGCAGCAGATCTCGTCCAGTGCTGGACACTGAGAGTACCTCATCCTTACCTTTACCTGCAGTGTGAGGCGTGGCTGTGTGGTGTCACAGAGAGCAGTGATCAGGAAGAGAGGCAGAGCTGGCCTGTAGGAGGGTGTGCCAGGGGGTGGATTTAAACGTGAGTGTGTCTGACACCCTGGGAGACTGTGCCACTCCAAACAAAATGGTGGGCTGGCCAGGAGGATGCCAGACAGGAAGTTCCTGTGCGTTTCTCTCCTCACTGTCAGCTGCTGTTCCATGCCTCTACGCTAAGCTAGGAAGACCTGCTCTCATCCTGCCACCCTCCCTAATTTCATTCTTGTAGCTATGTAATTGTCATCATTTCTCAGCTAGAAAATGCTTGCCTTTTTTTTTTTTTAATCTTTTTTTCGGTATTGGGGATTAAGCCCAGGGCCTCACACTTGCCAGGTAAGCGCCCGCCGCTTGAGCCACGTCTCCAGCCTTGCTTGTCTTGTACATTGTGTAGATAACTGAGATAACACGTGAGGTACTGTGAGTGAGATCTGAAATCGCAGTGTCCCACACTGTGGATCATGACCCATCCATGGGTTGTAAAACCGATTTAGTGGGTCAGACCATCATTTCTAAATGTGAGTTAGAGAACCATCACACGAAACTTTTATTATAGTTCTGCTGTGCCGGGTCACAGCATAAAACATGCTCATTGTGGATTTTATTTTTAAAACTTGGAACTAGAGTCATAGATGACAGATGAAGAGACTAAAAAAAATTAAAATTGTCTAGGTCAGATGGGGAAACACTAGAATGAGGGAGGACTGTACGATGGCAAGTTGACTGTCTTGAGAGGATTCGTATTGTAGTTCTCATTTAAAAATAAAATATTGGGACTGCATTTTATTTATTTAGTATCAGGGTTTGAACTCAGGACCTACACCTCGAGCCACTACCAGCTCTTTTTTTTTGTGAAGGGTTTATTGAGATAGGGTCTTGTGAACTATTTGCCCTGGCTAGCTTCAAACCATGACCCTCCTGATCTCTGCCTCCTGAGTAGCTAGGATTACAGGTATGGCACTGGTACCCGGCTGCATTTTACATTTATTATTTTATCAGGCTATGATAACTTTGCATTTCTGGAGCTGTGACCTAGTACTAAAAGAGCAAATGTGGCAATTTACCCAGTACTTAGTTGGGTACCTGAACTAAAAACTTTTCAATCTGTAGTTTATTAGCTTTCTTACTTTACTGAGAAGCTGTTATTCAAAAGCAAGGGAAAATGTGAGGAGCTGAAATACTTTTGATTCTGTTGCCTCACATCATAAAAAGGTTGGTAACATTTTCTTCTGTGGTCAACTCTTGTTGGCTCCTGCCTGTCATTAAGCTAAGCTTGCAATGTACTGGCAATGGAAGAACCGAGACAGGACCAAGAATCAGGCACTGGAGGTGGAGTAGTCTCTGCTCTCCATGGAGTAAGGGTACTGCCCAGTACCCAGTTTGTCCTGGTTAACCGCACTCACCAGTTTCATGGGCGAGTGACCTGTGGAGTCACACAGCACCCCCTGCTCAGAAGCCCATGCTTGGCTTAAGCTCCACATGAAATTCTTAATATTTTTGAAAAGGGACTTGTGTTTTCATTTTTCAGGGAGCCCCACAGAGCCTGCAGTGGGTCCTGGTTCCAGAGGCACCCTCTGGTCTCTGTGGAGAAACTGCCAGGTTCCCAGCAACAGTGGGCAGCCTGGGACAGAGGAGCGAGAAGGGGGAACATGGTGAGGTGGAAAGCCATAGGATGCTTGGGAAGAAGGGCTATACAGGCTGTCCCCAAGGTTGAGTGGGCGTCAGGAGAGGCTCTGCTCCTGGCAGAGGACGGCGTGAGCAGTGGTGGAAGGGGGAAGGCCGTGGGTGGAGCTGGAGGGTGCTGGTGAGTGGCCTGCTGAATGTGGAGGAGGCTGGAGAAGCAGCGAGCCACAGAGCCTGTGGGCTGTGGGGACATTTGATCTTGAAGGTGATAGGAAACCATTGGAGGCAAGAAACTTGATTACAGCGGTTGGGGATGCTGAAGTAGCTGTTGTGCGAGGAAGAGGGCCCCAGAATGCAGTGTGATCTGAGGTAAAGGACCATTTTTGCCTAGTTGTCAGGGAGGGATGTGACAAGTGGCGGTCAGGTGTGAGCAGTCACTCACCTGACACGTCTGTTGAGCACCACATACGCCTGGTACAGTAGACAGCAGGCACTCAGCACGGCACTCAGAATCCGTATCCTGACAGATCCCGTGTGTTGCTGGAGAGAGGGAGTAAGGGGAAGCAAAGCAAAGGAGAAGGGAGCACGAGAGAGGGCAGTGGAAAAGGAGGGTGGCAGGTGAGGCCAAGGAGGAAGTTAGGAGCTCACATGTGCCACGGGGCACTTACAGTGACACCAGTCAGCATGTTGTTACTTTTACTCCAGGAAGGTGAAGCTGCCAGTGAGGCACAGAGAGCATGAGGAGCGACCTTGAGCCAGAGCTGGGGCTTGCAGAGTCAGTCCTGGAGGGCACAGATCAAAGGGAGGAAGTGCGAGCTGGTGCTGTGGACTCCACGCATATGCAGCTCTTAACGCTAGAGATACTCAATCCATGTCTCACAAATCAAGAATTTTCCAGGCAAGATTCATATGCTTGAGAGAGAAGCTTGCTGAGATAATTTTCTGTGATTCTTGAAGAATTGCGTCCATTGTTACTATCCAAGAAATGCAAGGATAAAATGACCTTGACATCCTATGTCTTCTGAACTAGCAACAGAATACTATACATTATACCAAGTGTGACAGGCAAAAATGACACACAGAACCCTTGCTGATAGCATTATAAATCAATTCTGTTTTATTTCATTTTCTTGTTTTATTTTGTTTTTGGGATAGTGTCTCTCTTTGTAGTCTAGGCTGGCCTTGAACTTGTGATCCTCCTGCCTCAGTCTCCTGAGTGCTGGGATTATAGGTGTATACCACCACACCTGGCATTTTTTATTAATTATAATATTACTTTGAGGCATCATATACAGGGCCTTACTTGCTATTCATGTGCCCTGTCACTGAGCTATACCCAGGCCCCAAATTCTGTTTTGTAGGAAGTGTTAGTTACATGTGTTTGTAGTCACAGGAATATTTACTGACATGTTTTTTTTTGAGAAGTAAAGCTGTTTTAAAATCAAACACTGAATAAATGTAAAATAACATAAGCTTTATGAATGGTATAGGGCAGGGATTGGCAGACCTTTTCTCTAAAAGGCTTTGCAGGCCATGGGCTGCCTGTCCCCCTCTGCCATTGGACAGCAGAGCTGCTGTGGCCCTGGAGGATGTGGGAATGAATGAGTTCGGCTTGTTCCAGTAAAGCTGGTGTGGGAGCAGCGTGTTGTACTTTGCAGGTGCCTGGTGTGGGGCACCCCACTGGGACATCCACATATTTGCCACAGGGCTTAAGGAAGAGAACGTCACCACTGGTGTCCACGTGAGCGAGTGAGTGACATCCCACCAGATTGTCATTTTCTGCCTCAACGAACAGTAGTATGCTTAGTCACACTGTCTCTCTTTGTCATCTTGATATTACAGATAATGAGGCAGTGCACATGTGTGAACACACAGCTTTTTCCCTCTGAATGTTTTCATTAGGTGAAATTTCCAGAGTCAGTTTGAAGAGGCAAAGATGAGCATCGCTTGCTTACACCCTTCTTGAAAGGGCGGTTTTTATGACAGGGTGAGAAGGCCCAGGGTTTACCCCAGAAGCGAACAGTCCCAGGCAGAGCCATGGACGTTCAGGGTCTTTGATCTCCCAGGCATTGCTTCTGTTTCCCTTTCTTGATGCCTTTGACGTCCTTTCTCTCCACCCAGCCTTGTCATGTACAGCCTGTTGCCTCTCCTGAGTTTTGCCTTTCCATAGGAAGACACAGTGGTGACCTGGGCCCTTATCTTGTTGTGTCAGTCTGTGTGGGAGGGACATCATTATGGGATGTTCTTCCTACCCATCACTGACTCCATGAGACCGTTAGCCAGGAGAGCCTGTACCTGGGGCACCGAGGGGTCCCATGGGGCTTGCCCAGGCAGACCTGGTTCGCAGTCTGACTCTCTAGCTGTTTTGCCACTGTCAGTTACAAAACCTGCATGGGCCTTCATTTCCCCTCTATAAAACAGAATGTCTTACCTGCTTACAGGTCTCTGAGAAAACTGTACAGATGATATATGTGAAACCCAAAGTGCTGTGCCCTGGCTTAAGATCTACAAGTTTGGAACGTTTCATAAATTTTTATAATTTTGTTTTATACAACTACTACTCCTTCTCCTCTGGGCAGTTATCTTAACTGTTTACAGAAGCATCAGAGGCAGTCCATGGTATGCTCTGGTCATTGTGTGTCATGTTTCCAATTTCCCTGGTCCCCAAACAAGATTACTGAGCTCTGATTATAACAACGGCCAGCGTAAAGCAAGCACTTCCTGTGTGGTGTGCTAGGTAAGCCCCGGATCCTCAGGGAAAGCCCAGGGAAGGTCGTGTTTCCCCCACAGCATAGCTGAGGAATTGACTCTTGGAGAGACAACTTAACCATGCAGTCTTGCTACAGCTGCCGGGAGAACTTTCCATCCAAAGAAAACTTAATGAATGCCTTTTGTGATATTCCAGGCACTGTGAGATGGGTGTGAAGGCACAAAAGTCCCCTTAAGGAAACCCAGGGGAAGGGGTGGCTCAGTTGGCTAGGTAAAGAACAACTAAATAAAGTAAAGGCTGGCAGAGTGAGTTTACTTCCTTCATTTAGTAAGGTTTGATTTTGGGGGGATATTTTTTTTCTTTTTTTTTTTGATACTAGAGGTTGAACTCAGTTCAACCTCATGCTTGCTAGGCAGGCACTCTACCACTTGAGCCACTCTGCCAACCCTTTTTGCATTGGTTATTTTTGAGATGGGGTCTTGCTTTATATTTAGGCTGGCTTTGACCTTGATCCTTCTATTTTTTACTTCATTATGTAGTTTGGACAACAGGTATATCCTACTGCTCTCAGCCATTGGTTGAGATGGGGTCTCATGAACTTTTTGTCCAGACTGACCTTGAACCACAGTCTTCCCAATTTCTACTTACTGAGTAGCTAGGATTATAGACATGAGCCACTGCACTAAGGTTGGGTTTTTGTTATATCCCCTAGCTTCCTTTAAGCGTGACTTAAGTCAGTGTACAGGTGCTCTCGGCCTCCCTTTGCTTGTTGCACTGGGTGTGAGGACAGAGCACTGCGGGGATGGCACCTGGCTGTCCTTCACAGGGGCCTGGCTTGCTCCTTTGCCTTCCCAGATGGATGATCATTTATTTCAGATTTCTGAGGGCCCAAACTGAAGATTGGTTATTTACTTGTGGATTGATGCAGCTTTAAATGTAATTAATTGTCCTCTGAGTCCCTTGTGCAGGTTTCCTTTTTTTTTTTTTTAACTTTCTCCAAAGTAGTTCATTGTCTTAATTACATTAATGGGAGAAAAGGCGGTCTTTATTGATGGCTTGATAAATCCGCAGCCATGGTTCAGGCTGTTTGGGATGCCAACAGTCTGAACAGCTGGGCCATCACTCGTCACTCACCCTCGTGGGAGGCAGACAGCCCAATTAGTACCCAGCTCTTCTTGGCTCTGTCTCCCCGGTGTCCACTGCCCAAGAAGGAGATGATTAAGTACCTTACCTGCAAATGCACCAAGAAAAGGGGAGCGGCCTCGGGAGATTGTGAGCGAGAAAGAAATTCGAGCAGCCCAGGAAATCATTTTAAGGGAGGGGTGACATCAGTTCAGGTGCTGGTTTTGATGTCAGCCTGTCATTCTGTGCAAAGACTAGGGACACACGAGTGAGAGATGAGAGAGGAGTGGTCCTGCCTGGTGGCTTGGGGTCAAGCCCACTTTGTGGGCTCAGTGATGGCTGTGAGCACTGGTCCCCTGAGTCTGCCATTTCAGGACAGGTGTCTGAAAGTCGATGCTTTCTCAGTTACTCCCATCCCCAATGGAGTCTTTCTCCTCCAGCTTTTTGTTTAGTGCAGTGGGTTTCCTTATAATCTTCACCTTTATGGTGCAGTCGTGACACTACTTTGTACTCTGTGCCCCTTGCTTCTCCCCTGCTGACAGCCCTCCCTGCCATCCTCCCTCCCCCGTCCTCCCTCCCCGCCTCCACGTCCTTCTCTAGCTCCACCTGCCTCCCCCCTTCTCAGCCCTGCGTGTGCGCGTGTTGATTTCTAATGAACTATTGTAGACCACGGTGCAGACACGATTGTTTCCCCCTAACCTTTCATTGTCCTAAGAGCAAGGACAGTCCCCTACACTTGGGAAATTCAGCATCGATTCAGCCCATAGTAAAATTGTCCTGAATTGTCCCCTTTGTACAAAGCTTTTCTTTTTAAAGCCAGGATCCAATTCAGATTATACTACATTTGGTTATCAGATCTCTGTACTTTTCTTTAATCTACAAAATTCCTTTTCCTTTTCATGGTAGTGAAGTTTCTAGAGTGCAGGCCAATTTTTTGGTTTTTTTGCAGACTGCTTCTTAGTTTGGACTTGCTCATTTCCCCCTCATAGTGAGAGTAGATGACAAGGGCAGTAATAACAGGCTCTCTCCCTCCCTGCACCCTAGTCTCTGTCCCCAGCTGTGGGATCAGGGTGTGGAGTTAAATATTTTTTTAAGGTTCCTTTTGATTCTTCTGTCCCATGATTGGAGTTCTGAGTGGAGTTCTTTCCCCAGCTTATTTATTTAGTCGTTCAGACATGCCGACTGCACTAGGAGAAATCTGGCCCTTTTCAAACGTACACAGTTAGAGGATAAATATTGCCACAGGTTCTTTCGTCTTGATTTCCGTCTTGCATAAAAACATGAGGGTACTTGCCCCGGATGGAATGTTGCAGCAGAAGCTGCTGCCGCAGGACAGTCATGAGGCACCCTCACCTGAAGTTAGGCATAGCTGGCCGCCCTCTTGTGTGATTCTAGGTGTGCCTCCTATGGCTGCCTTGTGAACCTGGGGGCCAGGGGAGGAAGAAGGACCCAGCGGGATGGTGATAGGCAGGAGACATTTGTGGCTGCTTTTCCTCTCTAACTGATTGGCCTCCTTGGGGACTTCCCAGCTGCTAAAGCCCACAGCCTGTGCTGAGTCTACATGGAGTTCAGAGGGGAGCCTGTGAGTGACTCTGGGTGGGCCCTTTTGCTTGCTTACTCTTTACTTGGCGGTGTGGTAGGAGAGCAGTGCAGCCTGCCCCAGCAAGCTGTTGGGAAGAACAGATCCCAGAGGCTGCTGGATGATGGCCTATCTCTGCAGACACACAGGAGGTGACAGAGCTGCTTCTGGACATGGCCCCGTGTAGAATACACTTTTCCTAGCCTGATAGGATTCTTGGGCAGCTGGATTCTCAGTTACAGGTTGTGGCTATAAGAAAATGAGGAAAGCTGCGTTGACTTGCAGAGATGTATTTTAATGCATGTTTTTTCTTTCCACGTATTATGAAGGCAAAGCTTTAAATCACTATTCTGTCTTCTAGAGACAGGTTAACATTTTGAGGCTTTTTAGGGATTTACTTGGATTGTGTTTTATATCCTGCTTCTTTTTTACTTAGCACAGGTACTAAGACAGTTTTAAATGAAAGACAGGTAGCATTAAAAGTTGTCTACCAGCCTTGCCTCGCTCTGGTTTTCTCTGAAATTGCTATGATCTTAGTTTGCCTGTCTTCTTCCTTCCACACAAGTCCACGTCATCCGCAAGGAAGTCTTCAGCGAGCTCACGTGGAGTTGGCGTTTCAGATCTGTAAGCCCGTGAAAACCACAGTCAGTTTTTACACACTTGCCTATGTGTTCTCATATGACCTAGGGGCTGTGAGGGAAGGACAGAGTTAGTCATGAAAAGAGGGACGTAATCAGGATATGTGACATTGGTCAACCTAGGGGCACAGAGGAAGAGCCAGCAGATCTTAGTGGCCTAACAGCTTCAAAGTCCTGTGAGTCCACAGGGAGAGGAGCAATGTGAGATAGCCAGGTTGGAGCGAACTGAGCCTTTCAGCTGAGTGGGTAGAATACCGCCCACTGGCAGTGAGAAGTGGACTCACTCTCCTTCCAGAATAGTAGTAGTGACAAGTGACCTGCTTCTCATGTTCACAATGTCCTTCTTTTGCTTTAAATGGCCTAGTCGTTGGGTGATAGGCATTGGGGGTTGTGACCTGGGTGACCAGCTGAATTTCCTTCGGAACAACTAGGCATGCTGTTGTTCCATCCCGAGTCATTTAGGTCTCTTCTTATTTTCAGTCATGGCTAAAAACAAACCTACAGGTGGGTGGCACCTGTGAACTCCTTCCCAGAAGATGCTGTGTGTTAAGTACCTCTTCTTTGTGAGGTCCACTGGTTTTCTTGGGCCCTGACTTGGGGAACAGTGTCCACAAAATGCAATCATGATGTCCTTTGTCCCTGTGGCAGCTCTGTGACATTTGCCTGCTGATAGGTCTACTTCATGGACCCCTGCCTCATTGTGTTAGGATGCATATGCCCCTCTTCTGACATCCCCAAATAGACACTGGTGGTGGTGGTGGGTGCTGGGCTACCTGAACCCCCTTCAGTACAATACCAGCAAACCACAGTGCTCACGTTTGCGGGGTACACAGAGTGGCCCCTCACTCTTCTCCCACAATGGGGGAGGAGGGATATGGAAAAGCTCTGCTAAGAGAGTAGAAAGAGAGAGATGGGATTCTTGTTTTAGCCCAGACAAGCAAAGAAGAGAATCACACAGAACAGGCTTATCCACAGAGCTGGGTCAATGTGGGTGCCACTGCCACTTCCAATTCCTTTGAAGTCATTTCCCTTATTTGTCATTGTTGCACCGATCAGAAGCACTGTTCCCTGGGTTGGGCAATCGTGACTGGCTCCAGCGTTTGCAGCCCTTCTTTCTGTGTACTCACAGGGATCCTGTCTGCCTTTTGTCCTCCGAGTGCAGGTGGTGCTCCCCACGTTCATTCTGGAGAAGCGATCCTTGCTGGAGATGTATGCAGACTTTATGGCACACCCTGACCTGTTGCTGGCTGTCGCTGCTGGGGCCACACCAGAGGAGAGGGTCATTGGCTTCGTGGAGTATTACCTCACGGCCTTCCATGAGGGTCGCAAGGGGGCCTTGGCCAAGAAGCCCTACAACCCCATCATAGGCGAGACGTTTCACTGCTCCTGGGACGTTCCCAGGGACAGGGTCAAGCCAAAGAGGACTGCTCCCCCCTCTCCTAGCAGCTGTCACACACTCCCCATGGCCGATGACCCTTCCAAAAGCTACAAATTAAGGTTTGTGGCTGAGCAAGTTTCCCATCACCCACCCATTTCCTGCTTCTACTGTGAGTGCAAGGAGAAGAAACTGTGCATCAATACTCATGTATGGACCAAAAGCAAGTTCATGGGCATGTCCGTGGGCGTCTCTATGATTGGGGAAGGTAAGTCATGCTGTGTGTTGGAGTTTGGCTCGTACACAGTGATGTGGGTGTACTGATAGACAATTAGTAATTTGGTAGACAACTGACAATTTTGTGTGCAGAAGTTGTTATTTTGTTTTGGAATTGGGAGGTGAGGGGAAGGAGGAAGGAAGTATGGACCACGTCTGCTCATTTCCCTGTGGGACCCAGGTGACAGACTAGATGGGATGCAGCTATTTGCCCAGCCAGCTGCCCACCTGGCTCTTCACATGCGATGCCTGCATGTGCTCCGCCTTAACTCTACTTTTTTATTCAGCTTTGTGTGAATATTAGAGTTGGCTCCAAATCTGTGAAACACATTTTTATTCATCCTCTCCAGTGTTCTGGCTCACAGACGATGAAGATATTAGTGTTGTCTGTTCAAAAGCTGCTCATAAAAATTCCCAAGGCAACTCTTTTGACTCTTGTGTTAGAAATCCTGAAGCAAGAACAGAGTTTAATCACACCACTGGTGGACTGTGCCTCTTTATTTTAGCAAATAGCTGTGAATGAAGTTTATTCATTGTTGAAAGAAATCTATAATAATCCTTGTTAAACTGAGGTATCTGTGTTAGTGGCTTTTCAACTTTTTGACTCGCCAATCCCTTGAGACTCTAAGACTGTGATGCTCTTCCTTGGGGTTGGAGAAGATATCTAACATAAAATTTGGCTTTTAGCTCCTGGAACTATGTTGGCTCCTTGGGACTCCTGCCCAAATCCCATCATACAAGAACACCTTTCATTGGCTGCACACTTATTTTGAGCACCTTCTAGATGCTGGGCATTGTCTCAGGAGCTATGGATACTTGGGTGAACAAAAGGCAAAAGCCCCCACAACTCCACTGTCCTCATAAAGACTCTAATCTCCTTCTGCCCATTGGGGAAATAAGTATTTCAGTCCTATGCTGTGTGGAAAAAACAAAATAGGACAGGGCCCGGGGAAGCCTGGGGAGAGGGCTGGGGAAGCTGGTAGGTAGAAAGGCCTCATTGACAGGGTAGCATTTGGTCAAAGACTGACGGGACAACAAGGGGCTAGCTTAGAGACTATCAGGGAAAGAGTTTAAAGCAGAAAGAACAGGGCAGAGGCCCAGAGGCAGGATGGCCCCTATGTGCTGGTGGTAGACAGAAAGCTGTGTGGCTAAAGGAGGGTGAACATGGGTGGAGGGGAGAGGTCAAAGAGATGACCGGGGTGCGGTGGGGTGAGAGGGGAGGTGGCACAAACAGTGTATACACATGTAAGTAAATGTAAAAATGATAAAAGGAGGAAAAAGAGAGAGAGTGAGAGAGAGAGATATGACCAGGTTGTTATAGGAGTTTTTAGGCCCTGGACCCAAACTCCTGGGTTCCATATATCAGGTCTGGCTACCCACCCTAATACACCAAATACAGAGACAAATAACGGTGAAAGTCAGAGAAAGGAGATTTTAATTGATGTGGCACAGGCATGCCAAGGGAAGAAGCAAGATAGCATTTCAACCCATCTTCTCCATACAGACATTAACTTTTGGTTTAAATACAGGAGGAAGAATTGGGGGCAGGAGAGAAGGGTATGCACAATTATAAAACAGTCCCAGGTGTGTTCTAGGAGACAGAAGTGGTGGTCACAGGCGGTCAGGTTGCTCATATCTTGGGATGGTCGGGCAGGGCTTGGTTATAGTAAGTCATTGCCTAGATGGAGAAGGTCATAGGATGTTTATTCATCTGGCCTGTCCTTCTAAGTAGAGAATGGCTCAGAGCAAAGGATGCACACAAAATGGAGGCAGGAATGCCAAGCTTTTAGTTACCCTTTGGACATTTGCAGGCCCAAGTGAGAAGCCAGTGGTTTTTAGCAAAAGCAGTTTCCAAGTACCTGTTATAAGGTGACCTGGATCATGGGGCCTGGTGGGCCATCGCTAGGGAAGTTGACTCCTACACTGAGTGAGCTGCAAAGCCATGTTTGGTTGGCTCCATTGCTTTTGGGCCTGCGACAGGGAGGACATCAATCCAGGGAATGTCTATTGGCAAAGCTGCTTACCTTACGGTGGGTTGGGAAGCAAATAGAGAAGAAGGAAGTTCAGGGTCCAAGTATCTCTTCAAGAGCACTCCCCTAATAATGTAACTTCCTTCCACTAGGCACCACCTCCCAATAGTGCCACAGGCTGGTGGCAAAGTCTTAAGCACAGTCTGAGCCTCTGGGGGATATTTTAGATAGAAACTATAACAGCCGATGTGTTCTGAGGTAGAGAGAGCCAAGACAGTTTGCCTCCAGATTGGGTATGCAGTACGAGTGCAAGGGTCATTGAGATTTTTGACACGAACTATTAGAAGAACAGCATAGTCACTAACTGAGATGGGGAGACTGGGGGCCGGGGCAGGGTGTCGGGGGAGAGGGTGGGATCTCCAGCTGGCTGTGTTCCCAGTTAGACGGTCAGGTGGCGTGCTCAGTGGGCAGTTGTACCTCCAGACTACAGTTGGAGGGAGACCCCAGCATTTAAGGCCTCGAGACTAATGAGCTCATTGTGTGAGCCCCAATGCCTGTAACCCCCCCATACGCAGAACACCCGGCCAGGGAGACTGAGGAGTGGCCCTGGAGGGTGTGTCCTTTGCTAGCATTGGAGAAAGGGTGGCAAGAGGGAGGAGTGACCAGTGGTAATTCCAGGAAGGTGAGAATACCATCGGAGCTCGGTCCCTGGAGTCACTGGTGAGCCATCCTGTGACGACCTGACAGGAATGGATTGGAGAGAGAGGGAGGAGAGGACCTGGAGGGTGAATAAAGCAGCTCTTGCTGCTCAGGAGGACCTAGCCACCCATGGGGCCGCATGTGTGTCCTGTGACTGGCCTTTAGAGGCAGAAATGCTGCCTTCCACACTCAGCTAAGCCAGTAACAATACTCATCACAAGCCAGCGAGGAGGGGAGCGGGGCAGGTGCTGGTGTAGGGAACTTCTACTTTTGTTTTAATCGATTATTTATTTATTTTTATTTGTTTGTTTATTGATTGAATTGATTGATTGTCTTACTGTGTGGCCCAGGCTAGTCTCAAACTCCTGGTCCTCCTATCTCAGCCTCCACAGTTCTGGGATTGCAAGTAGGCACCACAGTGCCCTGGTCAGGAAGTTTTAAATTTATTCTTTTTCCTTGGAAGTCTCAATAATTTCAGTCTATTAAAGGAACTGACCATAGGCAGGTTAACAGAAAAAACAACCGATTTTATTAGCGCTCAGAAGAGGGCTGGGAAATTGGAGCTCATGTGGAACTAAACAGGATGGGGCTTGGCCTTGGTCGGGGAGGACTGCATGCAGGAGGAGGGCTGGCTGTGATCAGGTGGTCTCCTAAGTAGCAGCATTCTGGCTGACTAGGTGTCTCATTTTCCTGTGGAAAGGTCTTGGCTAGGCACATAGGGACAGCAGGTAGAAAACCCTCTGCCTGCGTGGCTGGCTATATTTGTATTTTACAAAAGCACAGCTCTTCAGACCACTGTCATGTCAGTGGCTTCCTGGAACAGCCATCTTGAAATACTCTCAAGAAGTGTGTCTACAGCAGCCTGTTGCAACCTACCAAGCTGGGGTCTGCTTGACTCCTTGAGTCTGTGCCTCTTTGATCTGTGAATGAAAATTAGAGCTTGAGAAGGTTTGGGGAGCCACCAGAGGACACAAGTCCAGACTGTGGAGGAGTGACCCTCAGGTGAAGGGCAAGGAAAGGGTGGTGGCTGGCCAGAGGGCTTTAGGTGCCCCACAAGGGCGCAGCCTGGGCTGTGGAGGCCCGTTCTGGTGGAGTGTGAGATCAGGCATTTCCTCCTGGGTCTGTTCCTGTGACTGCAGTCATTACTCCTTTTTTCTGAACTCAGCCTGCTCCCCAGAGAAGAGACGGGACAGGAGTGTTGGGGTTGAAGCCCTATGACAGGTCCCCCCAAGTACATCCCAGCCCAGGGTACAGATGTGAGCAGAGAGCTCAGCTCAGGGAGAGGACCGCTCAGGACCCCTGCGGGAGGCTGAGGTTTGCATTGACTTAGGTCATCAGTGTGGCATTAATCCTGATTTGACTGCTCGGGGGTCCCTGTTTTCATAGGTGATTGAAGGCCTGTCTCATGAGCTTTGCACTGGTGAAATGTCTGCTCAGAAACAAACTGAGTTTGATTTTATTACTTATTCTAAGTTTCCCACATGACACCTTCTTGGAAGATGAATGTTGTTGAGAGAAGGTGGAGGAGATGGTTCCCACCCTGGTCCTGCCTGGCTCGTTCAGATACTGTTTGGAGAGCATTTACATCGTTACTTGTGATAACGCACTCACATACATCCCTTGGTTCTCCATTCATCTGCGACGTGATTGGCGCTGCCCTAGCAGAGGTCAGGCACACAGAAATCCTGGTCCTTGGGGACTGACACCCAGTGGGAGCTCAGAAGACAGTACAGTGGGAGAGATGATGGTTGGCACTAAGAGACAAAGCAGGGCAGGCAGATGGCTCAGGGTGTACTGGGGTGTTTTGATTTTCAGTAGGGTGGACTGAGTAAGAAAGGGCATCTAAGTGAAAACTAGAAGTGGGTGAGCAATAAGCCAGATGGGTAGCTTAAGAAGGGGTGCTGCAGGCAAAAAGAACAGCAGGTGCAAAGGCCCTGAGGCTGGAGCATGTGGCTGAGGTGTTCCAAGGATCATGGGGCCACTGTGACTGTAGCATAGGGACAAGGTAGAGGAGATGAAGGAGGAGGCCGATCCTGCAGTGTGGTCTGGGGCCCTGGAAGGATTTGAGCTTCTTTACTGGAGTGAGAAGGGGATCCCTAGGGGGTTATCATTTTAGCTGTATCATTGGCTGCTGTGTGAAGAATAGGCTGAGAGTGGGAGTGGGAGTGTGAAGGCTGAAGGAGAGACAAGTTGTGTCTTACACAGTGATTCTTTGTACATGCATGAGTTTAAATACGTGATTCTTCAGAATAAGTGCTTGTGCATGTCACATTTCTTGATAAAACCATATGCATTTTCTGATATATAGAAAATATTCACCTTC